AAATGAATAAGGAAGAAAGAGAAATATGCCACAAGTCGACCTCACGAGTTCGAAGCGAAGTCTGAAAACGGGTATGAATTTTAGAGGCCAGGTCTGAAAACGGGTGCGAAAATGACATATTTTGGTCTGAAATAGGGTCATGTTTTGGAGAGCCGGGTTGTACACCCCCACAAAGAATTCCCAGGAGTGCCCCCCGGGTAGCATTTTGCGGCTGATTCGCCGCTTGTCGCTAGTGGGGAAGCCGCAAAGGATCTTTGCAAGCGTCAAAGCTGCAATAGGCTGTCTCTAGACGTGGGCTTTTGGATGCGCCCGCGATTCTCCCCTCTTGAGGTGGGGAGATTCTCGGGGCGGGCGGTGGGGAGAAGCTGAGAGGGAAAATCCCAATTTAACTCGTCCCCATACTTCTCGCGGCTTAACAGCCTAAATTACAACCATTGACTACAAAAGGACCCGTTGGATGAAACATTTAAACCCGATAAAGTCCCACGCAGGCTATGAATTTTAAGACGCATCATCCATACTCCTTCCAAGTGATTAGCCCGCTTGCATTAACAACATTCACTTTTTTTGCAGGACTGAAATAACTGCTTTTAATTCCTTCTAGTTTTCTGTGAGCTTAACTCATTTGACTCCCTTTTGCGGTCATGTCTACCAACACTCTTACCGTTGGCCTTTCCACCTTCTTTTTGGGTTTTTTCGCTGCTGCATTTTTCAGAGCGTTCATCCAACTTCTCTGTTTTGGGGTGAGAAAAATGTGCATAGAGCCATACACTTCCATCTGTGGGAAAATTCAAAACACAATGCCCATGAGTTGTCTTCATCAATGACATGGAACTCAGTGAAACTATTAAAGGAAGCCTTGCGAAAATTTAATTCGTCTTAATCTTACTGTTATACTTTTAGCCCTGGAGATTACACGTTGAATTAGAAAAAGGGTAGGTGGGTACGTAGTCCCCTAGAATCTTAAACTGATCCGTGTCAGACGATGGAGACATGAAAGTTTGAGTCTTCAGCGGTACAATCACATTGAACTATTTGCTTTATACTTAGCTTTAAGTCTGTGAACGAAATCCTATGGAGTGACCATCAACTGAAAGCTTTTCAGTAGTACTTTCACAAGGTACTATTTGCAGTTTGGTTCTGACTTTTGAGTCTGTGGATGAAACCCTGTCTTATGACTGCACAACGGAACCCCAGTGACACTCTTCTTCTCCTTTCAAGACGCTCGATTCATTTTGCAGTTGTGTTGCCTTATTTTATTTGACCTTGCGCGCTCGGATATACGATTGAAAGAGTTAAAAGCCGATCGTCATTTCTCGCTCCTTCACGGCTTTGGAACAATAAACGATAAATTTGAAGTACATCATTAACTAGTTCTATAGAGCCGTGAATCGTTTTTAATTTTCTGACCTGTTGTTTGAGGTGGTTGAAGTTGTCAATGATAACGCCGATGAACAGATTCAACACAAAAAATGATCCAGAAATAATAAATACAATGAAGTACAAATAGGCGGCCAAGTTGTTTTCCTTTATCGGTTGCTGGTCCACCTAAGAACAAATACAAACACTGAGTGATTAAATAGGAACTGAACAAAAGAGACAACAACAACAACCACCCTTATTAACACTTTATAACTGATCATAAGAAGAACAACAAATATCATTTCCTTGAAAATATTCAAATAGTTATTCACGATATTCATCCGATAAATATTGTACTTTCCCACTGGGAAGAAAATTAACTGGTTTCCTAAGAGATCAGTCATTTAGCGATTTGTTATTAGCACAATCTTACATCCAGTTTCGAATTCACCGCGGCCGCAGAATAGAAGCCCTGAAAACTCATTTATACAAGGTTAGCCTCAACCTGAAGTAAAATATTCACATTCATATTCAGGAGGTGACTGAATTTGAGTTTAAAACAATAGACACAGTTGTACACAGGTCTTCTTCAGACTGGAATTTGTGACTGCATTTACGTTAGGTTGAGGCTAACCCTGTGTAAATGAGTCTTCATTGCTTCTATTCAGCGGCCGCGACGAATTCGAAGCTGGACTAATAAAGTTGCACGGTCAGGGGCTTTTGGTGCCGGAGACTCTCATTATTAAATGTCAAGTGATATCGGAGAAGCATTAAAAAAGTGCAGGCTGCTAAAAGGAAGAAAATGAGGGAAATAGAAGAAAAAGACGGTAAATGGAAGTGCTTTACCTTTGTAGCATCAATGGCGTCCTCCATAACTTCCATCCATCCTTCGAAAGTAGCCTACATTTTAAAACATGACATGCATTGGCGGTATAAGTACACAGATACCCCACAAAAACCAAGGATTAATGTAGGTAGAACACTTTGAAATGAAATTTGAGGATATGAACATACCACTTGAAGAAGTGCTAAAAACCCATTAAAGGAATTGTCAAAATTGACGTTGGATCTTATCCAGCGGTCTCCTCTCTGAAGACATGCAGTTTTGTTGGGTACCACAGCTGCGTCATATTTAACACCATGCTCATCAACGCACTTGAAGAATTTCCCGCCAAAAAGATTGACTCCCATAATGCTGAATATCAACCAGAACACGACGCAAACCAGAAGAACATTGGCGATACCAGGTATTGCATGAAACAGCGAGCTTATTACCACCTAAAAGACAGCATAAGGACAGTCTGAGAGTGGGTTTTATTGGTCGTACCCTGGAACAAAGTTAACGAATACACAGGAGCCTAGGGAGACTATTAGATGTTGCCTTCAATAGAAATTTGGAGGCACCGGAATACTAGCTGTGTCTAAGTGTTGTGCAGCGACCACAGTTAGAGATCGATAAGCGCAATAGTAGCGGCAGATTCCAGGATCTTGATCGGTAATTCGATGAACTAAATGTTTGACAAGACTCTGGACTCTGAATTCAGAGTTCAGGGACTTGTCAAATCTGCAAATTCTAAGATATAAAATGACAGGAAACCGAAAACGCATAAACCTTACTTAAGCTTTAAATACATTATGGGGAGAGAATATGTACTATTGCAAGCGCAGTTTAATGCTCTTGTAATCGTCGCGTGCGATAGAATTCAAAGGAGATTTCATTGTGCGTGTGTGTTTGAACGAACAACTAGCAGTTCCCTTAAGTTACCCTCCATCTAGCACAGCGGAATATATTGTATCAATGGTATGTCTTTTAACAGCACTCCAGAATAGTTTAAAAGGCATCTCGTGTTGGTATTGATGCTCCAAACTAATTCCACTGATTAGATAATTAAACCATCCACTCGGCTAACCATAATTCTGTGATTTACTCCGCCGGAGGTCTAGTGCTCAAAACAAACGTTTTCAGTGACATCTTGTTAAGTTGCCAATTTATCTAATTGAATCCGATGTTAAACGAAAGTTTTCTGTTGTACTGTCCTCACTGAGACAGTAATTTATCAATTTTACACCAAAAATAGGCAACAGGCCATGAAGACATTACAAACTTACTCTCATTCTTTCAAATCGTGAGATCGCTCTCAGGGGTCGCAAAGCTCTGAGTGTTCGCAAAGAGCGAATAGACATCACATCTTCATTACCAAATAACGCGATAAGAGAGACCTGAAAGCAAGAAGGAAAACAGGAAACATGGACATAATAAGTTCTCTTGATCAATTAAAATGTCTGAAAAATACGGTGCGAGGCTAATAGATTTTAACATTTATTTAAAATATTTCCCCGTTTCTGATTGGCTCAAACACCCCGGCTAATTCCGCTTCATAACCAGCTGTTGCTGACAAATTTGGAAGAAGCTTATGATATACAGAAAATGACGTCAACAATACAGGATAAGCACCAAAAAAAGGACTTCGGATAACACCCTCCTCTATCTGCATAACTCGTCAAATGATACTCAGCCTCATCCAAAACTTGCTAAACATCAAGAGCTGTAAAATGATGTTCATAAATTTCTCAATAAAAAAATGAGAGATCTGTAGAAATAAGTTCAAGTTAGACGTTCATTTGAGATGTAGCCCTTCCTTATAAGGAAGTGGGCGGAACCAAGGAATAATCAAAAGAGAATTCTCTCAATTAGAAACGTCTTGGCTTAGCCTGCGTCGCAAGCGTTTCCGTTTGGTTTAGTATCAAAAAAAAGACCGCGCAACGGGATTCACGGCTTTGGCCGCGCAAGAAATGAAACGAGCGCCAAAAAATGAAAGGGGGGGAGGGGGAGGGGGAGGGGACGGAAGGAAACTACCTTTCTTTTCCATCCCCTCCCCGCTCTTTTGCTTGCGCCATTTTGACTCTCCTTCCCCGTTCTTTGCTCCTAAACGCACGGAAACGCTTGCTACGCAGGCTAGTCTTGGCCATGAAGTGATTTTACTTACCGCAATGATTGCAACATCAAGCCAGTTCCATGCGCTCGAGAAGTAGGACGTGAAGCCAAGACCGATGAGTTTCAGTAGAAACTCAAGCACGAAGACAACAGCGAAAAAGATGTTTAATACCCTTAAAACCTCCTTAACAGTGGGCCTGCTGTCCAGGTAGACGTCCTCGAACGCCTGTTGGCAAGATAAAAAAAATACATGAAAGCAATTTCAAAAGTAATTGAGTACCTCCTCTACAAATAAGACTGGATCTGTATTCAAAGGTCTTAGGGGAACCCTTTCATATTCAGCATGATCTAATAAGAAGAACAGTGGAAAATAGGGGAGCCAGGGTTTGACGGCCCCGTTATTGCCATCACCCTACTATGATTAAGTAAATGCTATGACCGGGTTGTATGGAAATGGAATGAAGGTTATTAAGCTCTACAGATAATTCAATAATTGTAATTCATAACAACATTGATCCCTGAAAAGTATGTGCACAAATATAGAAAAAACCGCAAAACTGACTGAATCAATGAAATGGAAATAAGGTCATTACTTTTGCCATGTACTGTTCACACTTCACAATTGCCTTGAATCAGTAACCAAAAACGTCACCTGAGACCCTAGAGGCGTTTGTAGAACATCATAGCAACGATACGGCAATCGACGCCATGAGCAAGTCTCCCGTTAACCGAGCCGTCGATTATTCAGTGTTCCTCTATCTCGAGTGACGACCCAAGTAACGCATAGTAGAGGACTAGACTTGCGAGTTAATAAAAAGCGCTTCTAAAATTATACTTACCAAAGCAATACTACTTGCAGCGATGAGGAACACGATAAACCATTCAAACCATCTGTGTTCCACAAGGCATTTCACCTTGTGACGTATGCACAGCCATATCACGTGACACCGTGTGTCGTCAAACCGCGCGCAGCAGCCGCAATGAGAAGGGAAGCAGTCGTCAACTTCATATTCCCGGACGATCAGGGAACAGCAACAAACCCCTGCGTTAGTGTCACGTGGGTTCGCCTCGTCCGTGGACCTCACTGACGCTAGTTCATTTATTATCACATGACCGTTACTACTGCTGCCTGAAATGTACAATGAAATTAGCGACTTAAAACAAAGGTTCTAGAAATGGTGTGTTATATTTTAGGCATTTTCTCAGAACTCAGCTATCAGGTCAAGAAAACCTAAATTTCTGAGTTAACGGTTTAGATTTCAGCCAATTTTTAACCATAAGTTTAAATCCATGCAGGGCGTCAGTATGTATTTGATCCTCGTTTGACAAATATATGTTGTGGTTCAATTTTATCCTTGGTAAAACTGTTTTGAAAACCAGATATCCGAGCACAATAAATCTAACTTTAGACACAAAAACCTATAGAACATTTACGGTAGAAGGCACAGGTTTTTTTTTTTATTTGACTGCATTGTCGCCTGCGTAGCAAACGTTTCCGCTCGAGTACAACCATCCGTGAGTTATTATTCCTCCGTCTTTGACTCTGTTTTCGCTACAGTAATGACAGTGCTTGTCCTTAAAAGTGTATTACGCGAAATATGTTATGGTGCAATCTATTCTCGTCTCCAGGGCCTTGGGTCCTATGGCTGCGTATGATCCTTTGCGTACTACAGAGGAGTTCTGAAGTCGAGAATGAGTGTAATGTCGATTTGTTTTGGTCACACACCCAAATCAAGAAAAACACCTTCCTTGGGCCACCCGAAACAAGAAAGTTTAAGGACGTATATATAACACGACCTCTTTAGCAGGTAGTTTTGAAATTAATCATGAATAAAAGATATATTAAATATTTCTGTTGAATTGAATCATCACAACTACCTTCTTTATCATCCTCAGTGTTAGTTTCATTCTTTTTAGGCCAGACTTTAGTCCGAATTCTCTTGATGAACCTGGATGCAATCACGACCCTTTTAAGACGCGACAATACGCGAGACCTTTTATTTGCCTGAGGGGAAGAGAGCGAGGCTTGTCCGGCAAATGAACTTAACAGCAGTGCCAAGAAGAGATTCAGAATCTAAAAAAAAAGCTTCGGAAATTAAATACAGTTGCATACAGTTCTAACATCTCATGAGCTCTAAAACATGTTTAGCGGAGTTAATAATGTACAGTCAACTCTCTTTAAGATGGATACTTCTGGGACTGTCTTATATGGAGTCAAATGAAGAGAGTAAAGAAAGGCAGAGACCAATACGAAGGATGCTGACCATTTACACAAACCATTAGGCACACCCATTTTCGGGTGAAAATCTTGTGCAGAAACATAAAATTACAACATTTAACGTGGCGGGAGAATAACGAGACCCCCGACAAAGTGTGTCCAAATCAGCTGAACAGGCTAAAAAGAGTGGACAAAGTCAAACTGCATTGACTCAAATCCCATGTTTTCTGAAACTTCCCAAACGAAATAGGCGAAACATTTGATTTTCCGTCCTAGATTTCCGGTTTTCCCATGTAATTGGTAAGTACAAAGGTGACCGTTTTCCAAGGTGTCCGTCGTATAAAGGTGTCCGTTAAAAGAGAGTCTACTGTATCTTTTTTTAACTCAGGACAGTCCTAGCTAACCGTTGGGTCCATTTAACTCATTTCTTGCCTAATCCCTACGCCTCATTATTGCGCGCGGCCGATGCGTTTCTGGTCACGTGATCCGTTCGTCTCGGAAACGACACCGAAAAGTTTACCGAGAATGCCTGGGAAGACGCGTAAAGGGACTAGGTCACGTCATTTCCAACTTCGCCAATCTTTGCCAAAGATATAACTTCCGACGCACACGCGACTGTTAGGGCTACGTCGCGCGTTACTAATAACGTCTGTGTGGGAGGCTATCGAAGACACCCAGTTACTACAACTCAAGTGTATAAGTGGCGAAAGTTGATTTACCAAAACTTAACAATTCCAAATTCGTCTCAGTAGCCTGCGCTCCATGCACTGCGATTTGAACAAAACGTTTGCAAGAAAGCGGCAAAAATCTTATGAGGAGTGTCTGAAGCTATCTTCCTTTTAGCTATAGGGGCCTCTCTAACGCCTCCCGGATGCTGAAACAAAAGGAAAGACATCCTGGTTCCTAATGCTTTTCCCTTATCTGTTTTAGTTGAGCGGGGAGAAAGTGCCTAGAATAAATACGTATCCAGACTCTTCTATTCACAACACTGTGAGGCAGCCAATGAAGATGATAGGGCAAAATAAATTACGTCTTTCATGTTATGTAACTTACAATGAAGTGTCCCAGTACGAAGGCAGGAATGAACAGAATAATGGAGGCAGGTCCTGCGGCCCTCATGCAGTCCCACAGTGGTTCTACCCACTCTCCACAAATGATCCTGAAGATCAATAGAAACGAATGCCAGAAATCCGTAAAATTCCAACGAGGAACCTCGCCGCCAAATTTCGCTACTGTGTACTGGGATCCAAATAACTGCATCCCTACCACGGCGAAGATATAGACTATGATGGCTAATATGACAGACAGGTTGGCCAGTGCCCCAAGACTGTGTCCTATAGTGGCCAAAAGACTGGACATCGTGCTCCAGTTTTTAGCGAGTTTTAGAATTCGAACCTTTGAAAAACAACAAGAAAAAATAAAGTACTCAATTGAGTTTGATTGAAGAGAGAATGAAATGAGAGAGGCGCAACTTCGGGAATTTTTTTGGGAGGGAAAAAGTGTGTAGTTCTCAAGCTTCCTGCTTCCTATCGTTAGACCAAAATAATTGATTTTCCATTATATTAAAGGTATGATGAACTTCAAACTTAGCGAATATACGAGAATCATACTTTTTACACCCAGTGACACTCAAACGAGTAAAAAAAGGCTATAATTCGAGTTCTCCCTACAGCAGTCGAACCCTACGACCAGTTCTGGTTACTTGTTTGCTCTCCATGCCCATGGAGCTACAGAATACTCATGGAAGAATACTCTTAGCTCAAGCTGGCGTCGAAAACTGAGAAAACCTGTCGGCCGTCCAATTTTCGTCCAAGTATAAAGCTGGCCCGAGTTCAAGATTAAATTTCAGGCAGTATATATTCTTATACTCGTATAGCTAATTGTGAACTTTCTCCTCTTTGGCGTTAGTTACTCAGACCTCTCCCCACAGGCCTATTTGCTCATCATCTTTGACAAACCTTTCTTCTTTTTTACGGCTAAATGCAAGAAACTACTTCTCTACACCATTGCTTTCTGTGACTTTGCGCTTTGCAGCCTCAAAAACAAACAAAAGTTTATTTTTGGAATTATTCACCACTTACCAGTCTAAACGACCTGAACACACTAGTGCCAGTGCTGTCAATCAAGTTGGACAGTGTCAACACGGTATCTATGAGACTGATCACGGCAACAACACCATCGAAGATGTTCCAACGACTCTTGATGTAGCCGCGGGGCTTTAGGGCAATCAGTTTAAGAATCATCTCCAGAAGAAAAATGAATGTGCAAACCTTAGAAAGAAGAGCTCGGATTAGAACGGATCACGACCAAGTTAACACTACCGTCGACTCTCTCTAAGACGGACGTCTTTGGGACATGCACTAAGTGTCCGTCTAAGAGTAATGTCCGTGTTATAGAGAGTCAAATAAAGCAAGTAAAGAAAGACAGCGACCAACTCTAGGTGTTCGTTTTACGTAGGTATCCATTAAGGGAGAATCTACAGTTGATTTTGGAAATCAAACTGACTACTCTGTAGGCTGTGCGGGCAATGCATGATTTCCAAGAGCAATGTCAAACTGTGGTCCATGGGACCGTGAGTTTGTCGTCAACAGAGGGGGAACGTCAGTTGCCGACGACGCGCGCAAGTTAAACAACTGGCTTGAGCGGCAAATTGGGCACCGGAAGTCGTGTTTAGTCCTTTCCGCGCGCTATCCCGTCGTGAACTGACGTTCCCGTCCCGTTGCTAAATCAGTCTATTTTCTTCAAACGGACACCGCATGGTTAGCCTCCCACGAAGGCGTTCCTAGGGGGCGTGTATTTCGTCTCTCCCTACAAACGCCTGCTCAACCGAGAACAACATTCCTTTCCCAAGCTTAGCCAATCACATTGTACCTTCCAAATTCTGCAAGGTTGACCTTGACCGCAGGGTTACCATATAAATACTCGATCTGCATGAAACATTGGGAAAGCTTTACGACCTCTAATAAATGTTAGACTTAGAGCGGCAAAAGTAAGATTTAGTCAGATTTTAGAATACTCCGTGCACTGCATAACCTTAGCGAAGGAAAGAAAGATGGAAAAAGGTAACTCTAGGGTCACGTTTTTACACTACCACGAGCTTATGAGTCGTGTTTCGCCTTTTCAACACTTTATTTCAAAACTGTTGATTGGTCACTTACCATGCGAATAATACAATGGGAAAGGACGTCTCTCGTTTGAGCAGGCCTTTGTGGGGAAGGAATAAATATGAGATACCCTAAAAACGCCTGCGTCGGAGGCTACCGCATAGTTACTGAGACCAGTATACTCACCGAGTTGACGATATCTATTGCTCTCTCCAAATCTTCGTCCATTCCGTGATGTTGAATCGACATAAAAAGTGTGTTGATGAGAATAATAAAAATTATGCCGGCCTCAAACCATTTACTTGACACGACTCGCTTTACACTTTTCCTAAATGGTTGCCAGCAGTCGCACTTTAATAAAATGCCAGCCCCGCAGCACGAACAACATTTTTTATTGGCAGTTTTCTCGCCCTCTTCTCCAGAATTGTTGTTAGTCGTTGTCTTTATGGTAACCGAATCTTCTTGTTGGCCCTGTTTTACTTGAAACACCGCGATTGGTTCAGTCGGTGGCATGGTCAAGGAGTTTTGATCATTTTCGACCGTCGCTTGATCAAACATGGCTTTGTGCATCGCTTCGTCAAGAACCACGTCTTGCTCGCGTCCGTAAACAATGCTTAACACACTGCGGCTCCCCAGGGAAAAGGTGGAGCCTTCCATCTTTTGTTTTAAACGAAGATTTTCATTTTCCTGGTGAACAAAACAGGCGTAAAGTTAAGGAAATTTTTAAAAATGCTTCGGAAATTTTTGCGCGAGTTTAATCCGATTCTGTAAATGAGGTCCGAATATCAGAGCTTGTGGGGACGTTTCCGATCATTCTTTTACGAAAATTGTCGAACATTGCAGAATACTACTTCATCATAGTGAAAGCCTGAATGTTTTCGGGGCTCTGATTTGTTTGAGATGATAAATTAATGTAGGGACTTGGATATTGTCAGCAACTGCTTGTGAAGGTAAATATACATAATAAAAGATTTTTCTCTATGGGAAAAATTCTTTGTGTTTTTGAAGGTTGTGTTATAAGATGTTTTACTTACCATCCTGCTAGTTTGTACTTCATTTTCATAAGATGCTGCTACAACAGCGAGAACGAGGTTGATGAGATAAAACCTTCCGAAAAGAACAATACATACAAAATACAACACCGCCCAAGGACCCATGGCGTAGATGATCTGAAAAAACAAAAGTACAAAGCACGTCTAGTCAATTCTCTTTAAAATGGAAACTGTCCGTTCTGGCAATTAGTGGCCGTCTTCGAGTAGAGGAGGAGCTCCAATATGGCTTTTCACTCCCTCATCCTGACCAAAATTATGTTTCAATCCTGTAATCTTGTTCGCGAAGTTATGCTCTCCAGTGAAAACGCGCAACAGAGGCGCCTGATTTTTTCAAGGGATGAAAAAACCAGTCATAAAAACGCCGTGGGTTTTACCTGGAGATGCGCCTGATTTTTCAACTTGTCACCAGTCATCTGCGCGGGTTAAAGCCACTTCTCGCTCTACTCTAGGCAGGGTTCAACAGTTGCGACAGTTCTAGAGTACTTGTAATTCTACTGATGAAGAACCAGGCCCGAAACTTTTGGAAACTAAAACACGGCACTTTTATTTATACCTTACTTTTTAATGAGCATTTTCTTCACTTACTAAAATAGAGACCCACACAACCGGTTTTTTAAGAGTTAATAAGTGAATGACTTATGAAGTGTACGTCCACATCTAACCCATCAATGACTGAACTTACCAGTCCATAATCACATAGCTTCACAAGGATCTCTGTGGTTTTCAGAAACGGAGAAAATAAAATCATACATGTGACTCACATTATTATACACATTCTCCCAAAAGTCCAAAGTGACTAGCTGGAATGACGTCATGATGGCCCAGCCGAAATGATCAAAACTCGTGTATCCGAAATTTGGGTTGGGTCCTGCGTCGGGAAGGCAGCTATGATTTGCATCACAATGCCTGCAATAAAATTTTATATGCAGGATTGTATAGATTTAATAGAATAAACAAAGAGGTAATGTGTTCGTTGCTTTCTTTAAGGAGTAGGAGTGCTCGATACAAATATATCAGGGGCACCCAACGATAATTTTCGGAAAATATCTGTTCGGAAGACGATTTGAGATCTAGAATTTTCGGGACATTTTTTCCAAAATTTCTTGCTTGTCTGCCTCTCCTAGGATTTTCGAACATCTAAAAAATGGTATAATTGCCCATTTTTAACGGATTTTTGCCCTAAAAAGGTCAGCTAGAATTTTCGAAGCCTCTTTTCTGCCTGAAATTTTCGAAGAGGTAAGTTTTGATCCCTATAATTTTCGGATCACTTGACTTTCAGCTAGGAAATCCGAACAGATGAAAAATTTGTAGGGGATAAAAATATGCCTATATCTACCGTTTTAATACTAAAATACGTTTAACAATGCTATGTTTAAGTGGTTTTGAACTATATTCTCTTTGGGTGCCCCTGATATATACAGAGCGAAATACAAATTTAAAGATTGTTACCCGAATCCGTTGATCGCTTAAAGTGAGAAACTCGAGACTAGAATAGAGACTGCACATCTAAGTAACTGATAGAACACTCGAAAATTTGATTGCTACTAGTTTATTTAAGGGAGCAAGGATAGCACAGTTGCCGTAAGATCGTTCACCTTCCAGCAATGTCGCCCGCACCGGGTTCAACTGCCAGAAGCGATGCCATCGCTTCGCTGTGCCGTAAGTTTCTAAAGCCTTTCCTTCCTCTCCTGCTGCGAGAGTTTTTTCTGCGGGACCTCTTTTTTTCTCCTCCTCCTCTCAAAAACCAGCATTTGCAAATTCAAGTTAGACCCGGGACCTCGCTGTGGATTCGCTACCACTAAATCATTACATTTTACTACATATTGTTAATATATCAACTTACACTGCTCCAGAGTTATTTCCACATACCACCGGATTACGCTCATAGTCGAGTATCCAAACACCTAAAGTAAGAAGAGAAAATTTTCATGTAAGCCAAGGGAAGTAACTTGTAATCATACAAGGACAAGGGGAGATCTTAGGAGGGTGGCTCGTGACTCCAGTGTAACCTCTCTCCCTCACCCCCCCTAAATTAAAATTTATGTTAACAGCTGTCGAGGGCTATTTAAGAAGGTATTACCAATAGGTTTTACTATAGTTCAGTGTTTGAAACGATGAATGATTCGGGCACCGTTCATGCTCATCCGACAGTGATGCATATGTGGGGAGTTTGGACTGTTGTTGTCTGCAATATTCATTGTACGTATTCTGTAACACTTAATAAATTTACTAAAGTTGAATGAACTATGAAAAGGAAAAGTAGTCTACTCATAAGCCACTCACTAGAATTAGACACGTAATCTATGTATGACGTTTGAAGGTTGTCCGGTACAGGTTCAGCGCATTTATTTCTCAGCACACCAACAAAAACTTGCATCCCGACAAGAGCAAAAATACAAATAAAGAACATTGTGAGAATGAGCACATCCCATAACATCTTCATTGAAGCGAGAAGGGTGTTCACCATCATCCTCAGACCTAATGAAATAAAAGAAAAATAATCTGGAATCAAATTATTGACGTTATTGAAAGAACAAATTTGTAAGTATATATTGCTACCATTTGTCATTAGTAACGTGCAAGGGGCTGAGTACAAAAGACTAAAATAGATTGAATTGAAAGATTTCCAAAGCCTTTCACCGGGAAGAGCATTCAAACAGCAGTATTTTTAGTAAATTCGAGTGTTCTTGGCATAATTGAAGAAACATCATAATTACACGCTTTTGAAACTCTGTAAGAAGATAGCTTTCTGTGAATCTTGTCTCTCCAATCTGCACTATTACACTCTCTTGTCGTTATGACTTCTAAAAACCGACCAACGACTAACTGAACTCGGGCCCAAAATGGTAGCAACAATTGTACGAAAATCCCCAACGTGTGCGAAAATTTAAGATGTTAGGATCTATACGCAAATTTCCAGCATTTAGATGCGAGGCGGGGGGTGTAGCTCAGTGGTAGAGCGTCCGCTTTGCATGCGGAAGGTCCGGGGTTCGAAACCCCGCACCTCCAATTTTGATATAATTATACTAATTCGACGGAGGAGCGGATCCACACCGGTTTCCACCGTTTTACAGAATTCGGTCAGATTTTTCATAATAAATATGATTTTTTTTATTTTTAAAAAAAGTTTTGTAGTTGAAATCAAGAATGAACTAATTTGCCGATTTTCAAGGCTTCATCCGAGGACTGCGATGGTAACTGGTCATTAACCTGTCTGAATGACTCATAAACCCAGGAATTAAGGGGTTTTTAAATTCAAAAAAATCCTCAGGAGAGCATGCCCCCGGATCCTCTTCCAAGCTTGCGCCTTCTACTAAGGGAATTTATTTCCCGTTTCGTCCTCATTTTTTTTTTTAACAAAAAAGCGTCAGTATTTTTTGTAAATATTCAAGGACTTACCCTTAACGGCTGATATTGTACGGAGAGCTCTAAACACACGAAATGTCCTGATTCCAGAAAGATTGGCTAACACTCCAGGAGCTAAGGTTATATACCTTGACAAGGAAAGAGGTTGTGTCACATGCTTAAAATTTCTTTAAAGCAGTAAAGTTTAGCTTATGATTTGTAGCCTTAATGATCTCGCGCCTTGATTTTGGCAAACAGCTTAGAAACAAAACCGGCGTGCGCTTACACAAAAACTCTACTAGCAATATCCTTCGCTTTGTTTCGTAATTAGTTTCTGAGTTTGCGCATACAATATCAGGGGTGTCTCGCTTTTAGCAAGTAAGGAAGATGTCATGCTTGTGAAGTGATTCGGCGATGAGGTGAAAAGTTAATGGCGATCGCAACGCTTTAAAGCATAGTTAGGAGTGATCAGTGGTTAACACTGATAGACCATTACGATGGATACAAACAAACAAACAAACAAACAAACAAAAGCAGAACAAAACTAAACTAAAATAGAACAGTCTGTTTCGGGTGGACCTTGGCATACAAGGTTTCTACTAATAGGCCATTTTCGAGTTGCTCCAAGTCTCTGTTTCAAAGTGAGGCTAAGTGCGAAGCCATTGGTATGAAAATGTTTTTATTCCAGTGCAAATAAAACTTATCACATGAAAGGTTTTCCAGTTAGCCTCATTTTGAAAGAGAGGTTATTTGGACTGACTCGTAAATGACCCATTAGGTCCAGACTATGGTAATGAATGGGATAAGAACTTAAACCAAACCGTGGTAGCTTACCCTAATATCACAACGACGAAATCCAACCAGTTCCAAGGATCTCTCAAATAAGCATATTTGTGGAGAGCAAAGCCTTTGGAAATTATTTTAAGAATCATTTCTAAAGTATAAATTGCTGCAAATACATATCTGTTGAAAAGAACGGAAAAAAAGATTTACGATTAAAAATCGTATAAAATCCACTCTATGATTTTAAAGAAGGCTTAACTGTGGGGTCCCTTCTCTCCTGGGTTCTTTAACAAGAATCTTAAAGAACGGGCGCAACAACCCCCAACTTTGTTGCCCCAACAATGTTGGAAGTTATTGCGTCCGTGTTGGCAGTGGTGTGCAAACGGATTTAACAACTCCCATTAATGTTGAGACCTGCAGCGCATCGTGGGAAGGATACAAGACCCATAAGACTTTGGAGACCAATAGGGTGTACAAACGGACGCAATATGTAATATCCAACAATGCTGGGAGTTGTTGGCTAACAATGCTGCGTCCGTTTGCACAGGGCTTAACTTTCATCAGTTGATGTGCAAGACGCAGCCTAATTAGCCTGTGAGCAAGCTATCTCGGGGCGCTCCCACCCCCGTACCCCCGTAAATATTTGTCTGTGGGGTGTTTTCCTTCCTCTTTTCGGTAGTTTTGAATGTGCTGCAAAAAATCAATACAGGAATCTTTAGTAATACTTACTCGGGTTCCTCCGGCGGATTCGTCAGAGCTAGAAAAACGCAGTTTACTAAAATTGTTAAAAGTACAAAAATCTCAAAATATCTGTGGGTCAGTGTTAAGGAAAATAACTGGGGTAGTAAATAAAATGAGAGAGAAGGAACAGAAGAATCACACAGAAGGTAAAATATTTTAAAAAAGCAAATACTTTAAAAAGAGGCAAAAAACTGTCAATAAAATGAGACAAAGAAATCTTTGTTTGGAGAGCTTTCATAGGACGTCACGTAGGCCGTTCTGGTGTTCCAAAACAATATTTGAAATGACAGCCATGTAGGTGGCTGTGGGGCTGGAATTGAATTCTCTTCGTAAGTAAAAGTTTCCTTTTGTTCCAGTACATTTGCAAAGATGCTGGCCACGTGCGTGAAAACGCTCTATTTAAAATATTTAGTACCTGAATCTCGTAAAGCCATCAGTATATTTCACGCCTACTTGAAGAGATCAGGGGGTGTAGCTCAGTGGTAGAGCGCTCGCTTTGCATGCGAGAGGTCCGGGGTTCGAAACCCCGCACCTCCATTATTATAATATCTTTTTTGAGAAAAATTAAAATTCATCTCTTTTTTTGCGAAAAAGTTATGTTGTTTGAGTTTCCGATTCAGAGGAAAGGCAAAATGAAAGGATACTGATTTGTTGTTATATGCAAAGAAAATTTCCTAACAGGGTGGTTTTGACCAAATATATACAGAGACTTTGCTTTGTTCAGGCGGTAGACATGGGGTGTTCCAAAACGGCTTGTAATCACGATAAACGTCTGAAAAATATAATGAAAGAACAAAGTTAATTTTCAGTTTTTCGTCGACCGCGTCCCATAAGACGCCAGGGAGTCTGGGTGGGAGCCATGACGGGCTTTGCTCACCAAAAAAAATTATGCAAATTAGGCTAAGGGTAGATTGAATCTACCCATGGCTTATGATTAACTGAAACGGGAGATCACAATTCGCGCCTTCATACGACTGAGGTGTTACTTTCGAATCCTCGGTAATTACTTTTTTCGCACTTGCCGGCATCCAAAAACACCAGGCGTGGGAATCACGAGACGTGTAAATAAGACATTTCTTGACATAATAAAAATGTTTTCCAGATACGGACGCGCATTTGTTGGCTTTACTCGCGTGGAGACACACGTCAACTGTTACTTCTCACGCGAAATAGTATTCAAGGCATGGCTCTACTATAAAAAAAACCCCGCTCTATATTGATCGCACAACCAAAATTATAGAAGGCGATAGCAGGAGAACTAACTATCACTCGAATAGGATAATCGAAGATCAAGAACCAAACCTTAACGAGAGCGGGGTTTATATCTGTTACTAAAGAGAAATTGAAAATGAAAGTTAACATAAACCCTTTGCCGACTCAGAAAATGTTACGAGAAGCTGAGGTTTACCACCCGAGAAACATTTTAATGACGGCCTAAATCTATTCTTACGGGAGGAATGAAATTATTTGCAATTATGTCGATCGACCAGTATACTATCTTCTGTCTATTACTGTGTAGTCGGCAGGAACATTACACCAAACGGCGTCAGCAACGAGATTCGATGTGATAAATTAAGTACATTTACTTACCTGTGATAAATTAATGTTTACTCAATGAGAATGAGTTAATCCCAGAGAAACTACGATTCCCGAAACAGGAACATTTGGAATTCTTGGACATCAGTAACTACAAACGACTTATAACAGCTTCATTTTAATAGCGACTTGATTCTATAATCATAAACCATGAGATCTAACGCAAAGCTCATAGGGCACGGCGAAGGGAAGGCAACCAGAGGGTGTGAAGTAATCTCGGGAAGTTAACCCTAAGATTCTATTTTGTAAAAGTAATGCTTTGATTTATTTAACGTACGATAATTGACTCGGTTGTGTTTTACAAACACATTTTTTTGCAACCCAAGCTTCTTAATTAAGCCAGAGAAGGGAATTTTTTGTCGTCGATTTTCATTGACAAAATCATTTGTAAGAACTAATAGACATGTGAGTGTTATAACTTTTCATTTGACGTTTTACAGTACGGATAGCTCGGTAACAAGCGGCAAGATAATTTCGTTTTTACATACATATATTAGCATCGTTTGAAATTAACGAATAATACTAATAATAAAAACGTTTTGATGGTGTTATCATGATTTTGGTTAAAACAATTTTGTCACACTGTGTCGCTGAAAGTTTATCTCATTACCCAAGCAATAATTGTAACTAAAGTAAATTCTATGTGAATTTCTGAAAGAAAACTAAAGCAAATCAGTGTACACTCCATCACCTGCTGCAAATTATAGCCCTGTGTCAAAGAAAAATAGTTTTAAATCACTCAGTAATGATGTTGATAATAACAATAAACAATAATAATAATAATCCGAAACAGAACCAGTTAGTACAAAATGAAAATGATGAAAATTAGGTCCTGTCATCAGATAACAACAGCCCATAAAGACCTGACTACCCAAGAGAAACAGAACCAGTTAGTACAAAATGAAAATGATGAAAATTAGGTCCTGTCATCAGATAACAACAGCCCATAAAGAACTGACTACCCAAGAGAAACAGAACCAGTTAGTACAAAATGAAAATGATGAAAATTAGGTCCTGTCATCAGATAACAACAGCCCATAAAGAACTGACTACCCAAGAGAAACAGAACCAGTTAGTACAAAATGAAAACTGTGATGAAAATTAGGTTCTGTCATCAGATAACAACAGCCCATAAATGAGCTGACTACCCAAGAGAAACAGAACCAGTTAGTACAAAATGAAATTAAACTGTGATGAAAATTAGGTCCCGTCATCAGATAACAACAGCCCATAAATGAACTGACTACCTAAGAGAAACAGAACCAGTTAGTACAAAATGAAGACTGTGATGAAAATTAGGTCCTGTCATCAGATAACAAAAGCCCATAAATAAACTGACTACCGAAGAGAAACAGAATAATATTAAAGCTAAATGTTTTCTTTAAATTGAAGTGACCAGAAAACAGAAATACCTCACTGTAATGGGAATAATTTGACTAAAAACAAACTTACCTCAAGTCTAATATCACTAATATGTAACTTAAGTCCGTAACAGAATTTACAAGTCGATACAAGGCTATCCGGTGGAATGATATTCTGGCGAAGAAGATCAGTGATCAAACGAACGTGGAAGCGACGTACACAGTAGCTGGCATCATGTTGAATTCCACTTCGACATAGGCCGATTTGGCGGGTTCAAGTTCCCGCCTTGCCACGTCTTTCGTCGGGAAATCTCCTAAATATTTCATTTTTGGAGAAACCCGCCGGCCGGACTCCACGTATTTCTTTTTTGAGTGCATGCCAATGCTTTTGGGGGTTGTAACCCTCGACAGACTCGAAATGGGAAACGAAGACTCATACCGTCGACGGTCGCCTTCACTTCAAATGGTTTCGAAATCAAAACCACAGCGCTTTTGAACTTTGAAAGTCTAAGGTAGAATATTAATTAATTAGTGAGAATTTAACTCGGTTACATCGCATGATCGCTGCCTGACCCTCAAAAACAAAAAAAATCGTACATGTACGCTACCGTCCATTCATTTGAGCGGCACTGGAAACAAGTTTTTGCGGCGCTTTGTCACACATTTCCACATGAAATATGGGTCGCTCCTTCAAAAATTTTATCAAAGTGACAAAGGAAATATAAAATGCTTTAACGTAATGTCTTTTAAGCCTGGCGTGCCCCGTCCAAATCACCGGCAGTCCGATCTGGATTTGTTTATCATGTAAATTACTTTCTACGGGTAGATGACGCGAGCTTTTATTTTTAAGATACATTTCGAATGATCAAAATCTTTTTCATTTTAAACAGAAAGGTCACGCCGCAATAAAACGGTTGCGTGGGATGCTGGCTCCTCGCCTTGCCTCGCGCTCAAATGACGCGTCTCTCGCGGATACTTGGTGTCTGGTTTACTTATTATGTTCCGGTCTTAATTAATTTTATGACACCAAGCAAACACCTTTCTATCGCGTACCAGGGCATCAATTTCCGGCGCCTGCTGAGATTTTTTTTCTTGAGCAAAGCTCCTCATGCCATTTTCGCGGGGCAAAGTGCTCCAAAATGTATCTAAAAATACTGAAACCGGTCCGTGAAAACGACGTGACATAGGCCTAGTATGGCAGTTGCTCTCTACGGGTTATGGGCTCCCGATTCTGTGCATTGGGCACCGACAAGAAAATTTACATAAACTCGACTAACTCTCAAACAAATAAGCCTGGTTTGACTCGCCTTTTTAGAGCGACGTATGGAAGACTGATGATTTATTTAATTGTTTGACACTTATCTTTGCAGTGCATAGGCTCGATTGCCTGCCACTGTTCGGGAAATAAAATACTATGGCAGTTATTTTCCAGAAAAAGAGCTAAAAGCTTGGTCGTAGCCATCACTAAACAGGAGACTGAGTAACTGGAAAATAAACAGCAGGAAAAAAACCGTGGAAGCTTGCACGTTATACTGTTCACAGTCCTCTATTTTTCGGTAAGAAGTTAAGAACGACTGAGATCTTGCGTTACGGACGGCCATCTTGGTTTCACATGTATCGAGTCTTGCCTGGGATGGGTCAAATGTACTTAGGGGGCGCGGGACGGTTTGGGAAGAAGCCATTTTTCTCGCCTCTCTCCACCTACCGCCGTAACTCCCCGACACCCATCCCCTCGGTACATTTGAAACAAAGATGGCCGCTCGTTAACTCTCGATCTCGGCGGTCTCACGGAAATATAGAGGACTGTGAACAGTCTTCTTGCAGCTTACACAGGTAGCCCAAGCTCGAAAAATGAGCGTTGACACTGTTGGGTTACCTTCGAAACGTAAGGATTTGTCTAGGGGAAAATGATTGCTTCTAAAGGCTAAATGTAGGAAAGAATTGGGAGGCCTTAGAAAGGATCTTTTTTTTTTCGCTGAATGCCTACATTTGAGAGGCTACCTAAAAGTGTCGAGCTTAGGTTACCTGTGCCTGATTTGATATACACTCCTCATAAATTGGCAGCAAGGCTAGCAAATATCCATTAAGAGATAAGCAAAAATTTATGGTTCATTAGATTAAATTAAAGTCCTGGAGAAGAAAAAAACTAAGTACGTGAAAAAATAAATAAAAAAAAAAGAACTTAAAGACAAAATTTAAACATCAGTTATGGCAATTTTAAAATAAAGTGTGTATTTAATGTGCCGTGTACTAAATAACCAAAGTGAATTTACTCATAGAATGAAAAACATATGTTTTTCAAGCAAAGATGACTAAATTTCATGTGGTTATTTAACATGGAAGCTAACATTAACGACAAGAAATCCTCTTATTTTTGACATGGTCCTTAAAGCTTTGTTCCCACATAATCGGCCGGAAAGTCTTGATATTCAAAATTGTCGCCAAATGTCAAGGTAAACCGGACGATAATATGGAAGTCAGTCATGCTCAATTGCTGCAGGGTTTTCGTGGAATTAATTAGGAATCATTATTTTCGACAAGCCAAGATTTTAAGCAGGTGTTCTGCCAAATTGTTTTCAATAGGGAAAGTTGAGATGAGTGGATTTATTGTAGTGAAGTTACAATGAAATGACAAATACCGCATTAATAAATTTATAGGCTAGAAGAAAGCCACATCGTTTTTCGAAAAATCAAGACAGATTTATATCTTCCTTAATTTCATGGTAATCAGGAAGAGATTTTGGATATATGCTCTGTGATCTATCTTATTGGCCCCTGTTAGTTTTCAAAAAGCTCAGGACTTCCGCTAAGATTTTGTGCCTGTGGAAAAGGCCGGTTCCCTTTATTGACTACACGTTTTACGATGATTAAAATTATTATAACTTTTTAATTGTAAAATATTTTTTTACACCTCCATGGGTAAATTCTTATGCGATATATAAAGATAGAAATAGAAGATACTCAGTGCAGCTATATCAAATGCGAAATAGGTTTGTCTTCTATGAAGATGTTAATAAAACTCCAGTGCGTGCAGCCGGTCATTTGTACTCAACTCGCTCAAAAGCTGAGTATACTTACAAGCAGCCTGTAGCCACAAGATATCTCCGCAAGCGGGCCAGCCCTCCTTCTTATATAAACACAACAACAATTTTCAAGCAAACAAGGCTTGAGCCAAGTCAGACCGGTACAAAGCGGACCAACTCGGCTAACTGGGCTGGCTCACTTCATATAGACAGTCCCTAAGTTTGCTGTAAATCAAACAAGATCTTGGCTTCCGAAAGCACATTGAGTTCGATTTACCCTCATGATACCCATTCTTTTTTAGCAACCTTACTTAAAATTATCAATAATAACTTTAGCCTTGATAATATATAGCCCTGAGTTAGACCATGATATGACAGTTTAAACACCAAAACTGTCACAGTTTTGACAACATAGGTCAGTTTAGAATTGTGTGAAGAGAGAAAAAAAAATCGATTTACACAAAGTTTATTATTATCAATAAATGGACGTAATTATCAGTCTGACCACGAGTACCAAATATGAAAACTTACGAAATCAGATGGATCGTTTGCCATACTGACGTATTAAACCCTGCCATTAGATGGCTATTAAAAGAATGTTTCTTAACGAAGTTTCTGTTTTGTTAAAATCTCGGAAATTCATGCCATGTTGCTTTCCGTGATGATTCCTGGTTAAATTATAAGTGGCTCAAGTTATATTTGGTTTTATCAGCATACCGAACACCAACAAACCTAAACGCTTAACTTCATTTTTATCAGCAAATCAATTTTAATTTGTTAATAATCAATTTCTAATTTCAAATATGAACTACAACCGTTTCAGACGACTGATCTTACCAATACTTGCGATATATTTTCTCGAGTATTAGTCCCCGATGAATTTCAACATGAAGCTGACTGATTCTCAGATTGCAAATTAACAACGCGATCACGAATTTTTTTAAAAATTTTTGACAGTGTAAAATGCTTAAAAGGCGTTCTGGAATCAATCTTTCTCAGTGACAATTTAAAATGGAAACTATCGCCTTCACTGTCCTTTACGGTCATCAGCAATAATTTATATTCAAAGAAAAGTGAAACAGCTCGTGTCTTATCCTTTCCCAACTCACCTCAGAGAAGTTTAGTTTTTCTACGAAATAAGCAAATGTATTATTAAATGCCTCCATGCGTAGTTCAGCTATGAATCGAAACCACCGCCTTCAGAGAAAAAGTGAAAAAAAGCCAAATGCATATTGCTTCGTGTTAAACGACGGTTCGACATACAACAATCTTCTATCCAGTAAGATCAAGGATTATTTCATATCACTCTACCAGGTGTCCAGTCGTTTTTATAACTTGAACAAAAACAAAAGCTCGAGATGGGGTTTCCGTGTGAAAAACTGAATAATTAGTATTCAGCGAAACAGGCCAATCGCATGTTTTCTAGAAACGCCTTCGAAATGCGGATTTTTAAGGTTAATTAGTAATCGCTCGAAGATGGTGTCCCGCGTTTTGAAAGGAATAGGGGCATCAAAAATAGACATTTTTCTCGCAAGTATTGTCCGAAGCATTCAAAAAGAAGCAAAGAGCGGTGAAGATTATCACAAAATATCAATTTGACCCAATTGTGGCTTTGTAGAAAGCTTTTAGACCAAGGGTGACAAAGTTGATCGCGTTGCTATGTAAACGCGGTTTTGTCTGTAACGCTTTTCGACCACAAAAATATATAATGATTTTTAAATATTGTATTGTTATGCTCTTCATAAGAGTCTTGTTTTTGTGTGTGTATATCTGGTGTGTGTTTTTAAAGAAGAAATGTCTTTGGTTAACCGCATACTGATAAGTATAAGCAAAAGAGAAAAAAAAAACACTACATCATAAGGGATGAAAACCATTAGGTGATATCTAGTACACTATACTGTAACTTTGTAGTTTTTTTTAGTGGACATTATCGCAAACTGCAGCTCCGTGAACTTACACAAGAAAGATGTTTAGAATAATTTAAATGTAAACGAGATAATTTGGCATGTTATGCAAAATAAATTGTGCAACAAACAAGAGCGTCAGTTAGTCTTCATCCAATTTGCAAGTTGCTTATTTGTTGATGTAGGTATTACTCGTAACATTTGGAAACAATGTGCATAATATCACAGAGTGTATTGTAATTCGTTACATGTAAAGCATCGAAGCTCGGCCTTTATGTTGCACTTTATTCAGTGTTTCATAATTCATATGTTTGCAGACAGCCTTAGTCCCCAGGCCTTTCCTTGTCCGCGCAAAGTCTGGGCAAACGTTGGTGATGTGTAGAAAAGTAGAAAGCTGCACTCTTGGTCAGACATTGTTGGGACACTTTAATGTCTTCTTGCCCTCCCATTGTTGGTGTGCAAGATTTGAGTTAACTGCGATAAACAACACAGGGAGAACGAGGAGACAGGCCAGAAGCGAAAAAACAGTGTTGGATGGAAGTGTCCCAACTATTTTTGTCTGAGACTTTGTTTCGTGGAAATTACCTGTTAATTTATCAAAATTCAAACATCGGCAACTGCCGCCAGATCGAGTGAAACATGAAAATAACCGCTCGAAACATTAGAAGAATATATAAACAACACAGAAAATACAGTGGAAGGCAGGGATGATCAAACTTGAAGTAAGACTGGCCTCCGGACGTGTTCCTGTCTTGACCAGTCTTATCCGTGTTTTTAGCCTAATTTTATTTATTTCCTTTTTTACTCTTCATAAATTTTTAATTAGTTAAAAAAGCCTTGTTTTTGAGAATGTTTAATACAACAATTATCATGGTACCACTTAGTGGCTGAGACTGGTTACGTAATTCATACTTGTAAACTGTAATTTGCATTGATGACTGAGATAAAAGCTCTCATATTGGCCTCGCACCACTGGTGTGCATCGACATTCTGCGTGAAACATGTCAAGTAATTTAACAAATCACCGGCCGGCACAATATCTTAAACGGTGATGTCTTAAATCCACCAAAACATATTGGCAGGTAATTTGGCGATAAGTTTCTCGTATACGTGTTTATGTAAAAACCAAAGAATTAATTAAAACTTTAACAATAAAAAATTTGTCAGTTTGATAACAAATCATTTTTGAAATAATATTAGGCGCGAGGACTTAATTGCTTAAAATTATAAAGTGACTTGTTTTGAAACGTTGATAATCTATCACAAACTTCCGTTACACCTGTACTGTATCTAACCTACACACTGTGACAATTTCACTCATAGGACATGTTCAGTCCACGGAGAATAAAACGAAAAACTTTGTCTTATCACTTCTAAGTTCGTTCTTATGGTTTTCAAGCCAGTAGACCAAACGAACAAATTGTTTTGTTTTTATGCAAAATGTAACCGCGTGACAAAGGTCTACGTTAAGGGAGTACGTCTTTGTGGAGAAACATACCTGGTCGCTGTCGCCATGTTTATCATCTAAAGGTCGATTGAAGTACCGCGGTCGCTCGGGACAAAGTTTGCGTAACATGTCCTTAAAGAAGCTCTTTATGGCAAGTTTACTGTGGACACTGCTCGTGTCGCTGTTCCTTCGGCCTGCCGTGCTGATGTAGCTGGCATGGCTAATCACACTAGCTTGGGATAATCTTGCAGTTTTGCGGACTTGATGTGTCAAGACAGTTCCGTTATGAGCCTGCAAAAATAAACGTCCAAGTCATTCAAATGAAAGCAATGAGGCTGCAAAAGGCGTTTGGTATTAGTAACATGTCGCATTAGTAACATGTCGCTAAATGTTTAATTCAAGATAGAAAAATTGAAAAACTTTTTTTTAGTAAATTGTATAAACTCCGTCTGTGTACTAAAGTTCTGTAACCATCTCATACAGTCTCTAGCTAGTAGCTGTTCCGTCAGGCAGTTTGGAATGAAATAGTAACATGAAGTGAAATTATAGTCGTTTACTTCATCGGTTAAAAAATTATCCTGTAAAACGTCACAATCATGTTAAGTTGCTAACAAAAATACTGAAAGCATGCAAATAACAAAGGGTATGAATTATACTTAACTACTGTAAACGCGGGATAGTGGTAACATGTCAATTCGTATGAAGTCGTGGTTAATTTCATCGGTGGATGATAGTAGATACAGTGTCTCAATTTCAAGTAGTTATTTTCCCCGAGGCTACAGTATTTCATTAAAAACTAAGTGAAGGAAAAATGCCGCAATTACGTCAAATCTAGGGCCTTTTGTTCATGACTAATGTATTGTATTCTTTGTATTCAAGACATTCTTATTCTCTTTTGTTCTTCCAAACGGTCATTTTATTTCGGCGTTATCACAAACTAACTTGAACTCTTAGGGGTTCTTACTGGAATTCGTTAAAAGGTGTCCGTGCGTTCCAGATCGAACTGGAATTTGAAAGTGTTGGTCTTTTAGGAGAGGGTAACACCGCAGTATTTGGAGAAGAACTTCTCGTAGTAAGGGAGAGAGCCAGTAAAGAACTCAACCCACATTTTGCGTTGACGCCCAGCTTTGAAACCGAACTACATTGGAAAAAGGTGGGTACCCTCACCACTACGCCATTGCAGATTTCGCCCCCTTTTTAAGACACTCAGAAAATTTTTGACTTCTTCAGTATCATGAAGGTGTTTCTATTGAAAAGAAGGACTGGGATCGTAACCCAGGGTCGAATTTGGACCTCGAACCCTGACCTTTCGTATCTTAATCTCTCTGTATCTCTTACCACTATGCTACCACACCGACCGGACCCGCCAACGACCGTTAAAAATGGCAGCCACCGTTTAGGAAAGGGTTATAGGCTGCGCCACCCTTGCTTCTCCAATGGCTTTGAACTAGATATTGTTACGATCTCCTACTATCCGTCTAACCTCAAATCTTAAGTCCAACTTCATGTTTTATGCTACTGATTTCAGGGCTTTCCAGACCTTTTTAAATAAGAGGAAAACGAACTTGACGACTTTTGTTGGTGGAGAGGTCTGAAAATGAAACTAACCCTAATGCTCCTGGTTCTAAGTCTTCTAAGAAAATTAATAAAATGATAATTATATAAAAAATACTAGTGCCGATTCTCTTCTCTAAGTTCATCGTAAAAGTTACGTAATTTATGAAACGAAGAGCCGCTCAGGAGATGAAAGAATTTGGTGCGGTGACTCCGAGCTCTGTTTGTTTTACCGCTTCCGCGTTCTTGACCTACACAAAAATACGGGCCGGCTGTTTTTCAGTCTAAACATGCGCAATCAAGACTTTACTTTGATACAATGTAGCTCGTTTGTGAGTTAACAATGTTGTCATTGTGAGCCGTTATAAAGGATGAATAAAAAAAATTTTATACCATAAATCCCCTATTAAGCTTCCGGGGGTGGGGCTTATTTATTTCAAGCCCATTTGAGGGGGGGAGGGGGGTGGGGGCTTAATAGAGACGGGGGCTTATTTGAGAGGAGGAACTTATTTAATTTAGAAACGACGATGGTATCAGTTCGCCATAAAGAACTAGAATGCAAAGTGGAAAAGCTCAAGTATAAGAAGCTTTAGAAAATGCAACCGAGGATCAGAATTAAATCCGAACTTCCAGTTGGTAAATAAACCATCCTGGATCAGTCCACATGAAGTTTTACAGTCGTGACTGATTAATACACAGTGAATACAGTCTATAATTTATTAGCGAAGAATAATTAGGGGAGGGGAGGGGGAGCTTATTAGGGGGAGGGAGCTTTGGGAGGGGGACTTAATAGAGGATTTACGGTTTTAAAAGGAAAAGAAATGATAAAAAGCGTGTGAGCCATATTATACCTGTATTTCGGGATCAATACATGGTTTCCACTTACCAAATCTACATAACTTTCCCCTTCTCTAGCGTGCATTAGAGGCGTTCGAAACAAAAAGGAAACAAAAATTCATGGCAAAGAACCTGGCGCCTTTCACGTTTTCGCGTGCTCGATCTTCGTCTTTCCCCCCACCCTCCCTTCTCGTACGCCCGGCTTAAGGCTAGTTCCAAAACTGTTGCATTCCGGCTAAATCCTCTACAACGTCTATTAGCTTTGCCTGTAAAATTTCATTCGTTTTTTAAAGTGAATGACCCTCTTTTTTAGCGAATGAATTATAAGGCTAATCACCAAAGCTCAACTTTTATACTGGCAGAACAGGGCAATCGGTAGGGCAATGCGTGTGAAATGAACCTATTTTCATCCAGTGTTTTCTTGTAATTTGTAATCAGTGCGACGTGCAGTTGCTTACTAAAGGACTGAATTAAGGTAATTATGATGTAGTGGCATTGTAGACACATCAAAGATAATCAATCTTTGACTAAAAAGTGCGGCAGGTAATTTTAAATTGCTCTCATTAATTTGAATTGGGAGCCCGTGGGAAATGCTGCATGGTCAAGTTAAAGTTATTCCAAGTTCATTTGAAGATATTTTTTAAAGAATTTTGATCCTACCGACCGGTGATTATTCAGAAAGAAGCAAGAAACGGTAACTAATAAAGCGATTATAGAAGTGTACCCAGATATGCGTATTCCCTACTTTCACATTCCCATAATACACCTTCAATTTTGTTAACCCCCGAAAGTTTTGTCTAAGCATTGTTTCTAATTTCTCTAGGGATTTTCCACCCCCCAAAGAGAACTTGAAAGCAATACTTATGCCAAATTTTTGGGGGGTAAACAAGGTGTATCATGGTTGATGTGAAAGAAGTGAATTCTCATAATAAGAAAACGCGATAGTTAGTTTCAGAACGAGTGAAGAGTCATGGCTGTAAGATACCAGCTACAGCAGTTGCGCCACTGAGTAGTAGCCGTTCTAATCCACGGAGTTGCTGGTCGAGTTGTAGCTTTAAATTAGTACGATTTTCGACCAATCAGCGTGCATCATTTTAAGATTGAAGGAAATGAATCAGCTTTTAAGTGGAGTGATTTTAAAAACAAAATATAAAGCATTAATTACATGTGTTCTTCAGACGGATACGCCCTAATTATTGGTCAGGAGGGTTAACAAAGTCCTCGTTTGCTTAATACGTTGACATCTGTCCAAATATGAATTTTTCCGAATCTCGTCACCTTAGTGTAATCTACTTGTCTCAAACGAGATTTCACAGTTTTTATTACTCCAAGACAAACAATCATTTCAATTGCCAAATGTGAACTATCATAAAAGAATAATTAACGATAATATAGCGATGAGGAAATTAGTAAGCGATTCTAACAGAGGGGACGTGATCAAAAATTTTCGACCCCTGTTTGCACGAACTATGTAGGATTCAGCAATACCAGAGAAAATTATGGCTGCTGCTCATTAGATCTTATTTAGAAAGTTCTTTCAGTCTTTCAAAGAGTGTTTTCTGATCATCTGGTTTGGTGATACAGTGTGATATTGGACAAGAAACTAGAAAAACCGAAAACCTCGTCCAAAACAGAAGCGAAATCACAAACAACTTAACTGAACGAAACTGACAAATGAGATTATACAATAACAGTTTGTTCCGTGGGAATTAATAAAGTCGCTAACGTGGACAGGCTAGCTGGATAATGATTTGGTAGTTGGTCAGTATCAAAATATAATCAAATTTCACACAGCGAGTTGACAAGGACCGCATCTACTTTTAGAAATGTACTTGAAACGACGCGCTGCTGTGTTATCATACGGAAGTAAACGAAAAAAGACCGAGACTGCAGGTGGCCTTTGAACGCCGGTTGAAGCCCAGCAAGCCATGAAAATTTAAAATCTGTGAAAAGGCCGCCGTAGTATAGAGAAGTCCCAAAGTGTGACGATGTAGGCGGTGAATGCCAATTCCACTAACAATTACAGCTCTTAATAACCCGCACTCAAGATCACTCTTACCTCAGTGTCGGCCTCCTTCATTTCTCGCCACTCACTTGATCTTAGTCCTTCATTTCTACAACCTTGAAACTATTCTTTATTTCAGCATTCTGCCTTGTCGGGCACACAGCAGAACTCGACCACGTTGTCCCTGGCGATGACCAGATACTTTGTCGTTTTCTTAAAAGAGCCGCATCATGTCAACAGAGGTTCTCCGATCGACTCGCGACTATGTCTGGTAGCGAAGACTAATGAGATAAGTGCTTCTCTTATCCCTTGCATGTGGATCGCTTAATTCACACGAAGAGCTCAAGGGAAAAAAACTGCTAAGATACCAGATCAACAAAACGCAGGTTGTTACTTATTTGCATGACATAGAAATACTTGTCTTTTTGACGCACTTCAAAAAGAAAATCAACATGCAAATAATTCCCATGAGGGGAAAGAAAATAATGACCACTAAAGTGAACTGAACTCTAATCATGATTTACGGCCTTCGAAACGCAAACTAGAGTCACTTGTCCTTTTTTCAAGTGAACCAATAAGGCTGGCAAGACTATTGAATAACGATTATCCGGACGCCACAAGAAAGCTTTCCCTGGCAAACAGTAGCCTCTGACATTTAAACAAAACTTAGTTGTCTATATTCTTTCGACGATAAAAGAGGAAAGTAAACAAATCTCTATGTCCGGCCAATCAG